AGCAGCTGCTCTCGTAGGTGGGAAGGTGGTGGGGTGGACCACCTGTGGGAGGCTTCTCCATGGGCTCCAGGGAGAGCTTGCACAGAGATTTCCATGTCAATCCCCACTTTCCAGGGGCCAAAACAGGTGAATTTTGCCCACTGTGTGTGACAGAGACACCCCCAACACCCCTGGGGGCCAGCTGTGACCCCCTCTGTGTGCAGGGGATGAATTCTGCTCCCCAGCCCCCCTCCCTCCCAAAGGATTTCGGTTGTCCCCCTCTCCCCCTGCTCCTGGTGGGATTTTACAGCATCTTTACAACAAGCTGGGTGGGATGATGGTTTGGGACCCCCAGGCCTGGGCAGTGTGGGGGGCTCACTCTGCTTATCCATGGCCTGGCAGGGAATTGCTGCGGGAAACAGAGAAACGGTTGGACTGGGACATCCAATGGTTGGACTCTGTGACCTTAGAGAGGTCTTCTCCAACCCAAAGAATTCTGTGATTCTTTGAGGGCAGCACCTAATCCTGGAGTTTCTTCAAAGCCTTGTGAGACAGAGTGAGCAGAGGAGCCCATCTGGGCCCTTCCCCAGCCCAGCCACCTCCCCCAGGAGTGTGGCTCAGCTCTGTTGTTTCCAGCAGCCAAACGGTGGGTGCTTGAAAGGAAGAGTCCCGGGGCTTTCTTTGCTAATCCCGTTTTACAGAGAGTTCCAGAAGACCTGAGGAACAAACAGAAAAAAGAACGTCGATCGAGGTCGGTATCAAACCCAAATGATCAGAGAAACAAATATTTACACAGGTCAATATTTAACTAGGAGACAATAAATGCTGATATTGAACCAAATCTGTATATAAATACGGTCTATTTATAATGTGAGCCTGTAAAGGGGCACTGCCAGGTACTTGCCAGGGGGGTTGATTGATGATTATCCTGCCCATTGTTTGCTGATTCCCTTGGAGGCTGGAGTTTCATGCAGGTGCACGTATGAGAAAGGCTGTGCTGGGTAATCCCAGGGCTGGCACAACGGGCACAACTGTCTGTGCCTGGGCCCGAGGAGGGCCCCCCTTTGCCTCTGGATGGAGAATCCTGCCATTCCCCCATCCCTTGAACCCCCATGTCATGGAATCCTGGAATGGGTTGGGTTGGAAGGGATATTAAAGCCCGTCCAGTCCCACCCCCTGCAATGGGCAGAGACACCTTCCACTGTCCCAGGTTGCTCCAACCTGCCCCTGGACACTTCCAGGGATGGAGCAGCCACAGCTTCTCTGGGCAACCTGTGCCAGGGCCTCCCCACCCTCACAGGGAAGAATTCCTTCCCAATATGCAACTTAAACCTGTCCTACTCCAATTTAAAGCAATTCCCCCTTGTGCTGTCCCTCCATCCCTTGTCCCCAGTCCCTCTCCAACTCTCCTGGAGCCCCTTTAGACCCTGCAAGGGGCTCTCAGCTCTCCCTGGAGCCTTCTCTCCTCCAGGTGAACCCCCCCAGCTCTCCCAGCCTGGCTCCACAGCAGAGGGGCTCCAGCCCTGGAGCATCTCCGGGGCCTCCTCTGGATTTGCTCCAGCAGCTCCACATCCTTCTGTTGTTCCCCAGAGCTGGACACAGGGTTGTGCCGTTGGCTGCCCTGCAGGGACATTTTGCTGGCACCTCTGTCCCCAAAGCTCTTTGCACCAGTGACCAGCACAGCACCACTGCTGGGGGGTGGCTGGGAACCCAGCTGGGAAGGGGTCTCCTGTCTGGAAAATGGGATGGGGGCTTTGGCCAGGCAGGAATGAGCCCTGGGCTCGAGGCTGAGAGTCCCCCCTGAGGCCTCTCCCCCCCCCCAGCCCCTCCCTGTGGCAGCTTTACAAGCTCGTTGCCTGTTTAGCAAACATTGATTTCTCGCCTTGTTCTCTGCTGTGCTGACAACGCCTGATGTTTCTCTGACGGTTTGTTATTTATCAACTGCAGATTAGAAAGCGTTTAATCACGGGACAGACAGTCCCCCCTCGGCAGCCCCGCTGTGCTAACCATGCTCCTGGTTAATCCCCACCCTTGGCTTCAGCGGGGTTTTATCTCAGTCCTCCCCAGAAATGTTTGTCTTGGACTCTGCTTGTATCGATCCGTGTCCTGATAACACCTCACCTGGCTTTGACAACACCTGAAGGAGGGAGAGAGGGCTCCAGGGCTTGCAGGTCTCCAGGTTCCTGCAGGATTTATGGAAACTGGCAGAGAGGGAAGGTTTGTGTCCACACCCGTGAGCCACGGGAGAATCCACTCTGGGGAGCTGGGGTGTCATTGCATCTTCAGTGAGTGACTGGCCTGCAGGGCTGGGGGGTTCCACACCACACAGCCCTCCCAGAGCTGCTCCCAAGGTAATCTTGCCCTCCTGGGAATTTTGGTGGCCAGGTTGGGACGTGCCAGTGCTGAGCGTGACACGGTCCTGCTGCTCCAGTCACACAAACTGGTGTCCAGTGGCCTTACTGGGGTGGACAAAGTGCTTGTTTGTGTTTTCTTCTCGGTTTTATTTCGGTTTTCTTTTCTGTGGCAAGTTGAAGAGATGCTCCTTTGGGGTCAAAAACAGAGACTCTGATGTTTGAGGGGAAAATGTGCCCAGAGCTCAGTGCTTTGACTGTGTGAAAGACTGTTCCTGTTGGCTTTGCCTTCCTGGCCACACCAAGGGTGACTTCAAATGAAAGACAGTAGGGTTAGATGGGATATTGGGAAGGGATTTTTGGCTGTGAAGGTGGGCAGGCCCTGGCACAGGTTGCCCAGAGAAGCTGTGGCTGCCCCATCCCTGGGAGTGTCCAAGGCCTGATTGGAGCAACCTGGGACAGTGGAAGGTGTCCCTGCTATAGGAAGGTGATCCCATCTGGGTCAACTTCATCTGGTTCTTCATCTGGAAGGCCCTGAGGGCTTTCCCCATCGAGTCATGGTGGGCATCTTGTGCCCTGCTGATGAACTGAGTGCCCTGGGGGTGTGATAAGTTCAGTCCTTCATAAAAAAGTAAGGAAATGTTCATTCCCTGCCCGTGGCTGGAGGATAGGGAGGAAAGGATGGGCTGATCAGTCCAGGTCATTCCTGTTTTGTGTGAGCCCCCCAAAGAGGCTGGAGCTGTCCCAGGCAGGGATGCAGCCAGGACCTGCTTGGGATGGAAAAGGAGGCTGCAGAGCCCATGTCCATGGATCTGGGTGAGGATGCAGAGCCCCAGTGTCCATGGATCTGGGTGAGGATGCAGAGCCCCTGTGTCCATGGATCTGGGTGAGGATGCAGAGCCCATGTCCATGGATCTGGGTGAGGATGCAGAGCCCCAGTGTCCATGGATCTGGGTGAGGATGCAGAACCCCTGTGTCCATGAGGCTCCCTGCCCCTTTGCTCTCAGTCCTTCCTCTGTGTCTGCACTCTCCAAGGCCAGGCTGGACTGCAGACAGCTGCCAGAGCAGAGGGTTTGGTGGTCTCCTGGTGAGGTTGACCCCAGCAGGAGGATCCAGCTGCTGCAGGCTCAGGATTCCCTGTGAAGGAGCTTGGCTGAAGGATGCAGGTGCTTCTGAAGCTGGTTCTTCCAGCTGATGGGGGTGATGGGACACAGCTTTCAAGCCCAAACCTCAGGAGAGTTCATGTTTAAGCATCTCCTCGTGCTTCCATGGGCACATGGAGCCCAGCAGCTCTCCAGGGGTGGCAGTTCTCAGCATTCCCAGCCTGGCATCTCTCCTCTCAATGCCATGGGGCTCTGGAGTCTGTTGTGGCTCTGCAAGGAACATCCTCCATTTGGATGCAGCTCCCAGAATGTGGACACCTCAAAAATGAGTCCACTGAGTTGGTTTTGCTGGTTTTCTGTGGGACAGAGGGAAGGCTGTGCTGGTTTCGAGCCCTTGCTGGTCTCATGACCAGCCTGATGATGTGTGAGTGGCCCCAAACCGGGAGGGGAGAGGAGCTTTACCACCTGCTGGACTGGAGGAATGGGAGAGCAGATGGAACCAAGGGGTTGTGGAGAAGATGGACACACTGGAAGTGAGCAGGAGAAGGACGTGGAGGGAGAATGGGACACAGGCAGAACCCTCAGAAGGCTGATAAATACTGGTTTGGGATTTGGATAAAACTCTTCCCCCCTACTTGGTGCCGGAGGACTGTGGCCTGTTTGGAGCACTGACCTTGGGGAAAGGATCTGGGTCTGGGGGAGGGATTTGGGAAGAGTCCTTGGCCCTCTGTGAAAATCTGGGGGGAACTGAGGCAGGAGAGGAGAGGCTGTGTATGCACAACGTTTACTGTTGGCATACAGGGAATGCTAAAGCAGATGTAAATCCTGGCAAAGTCTTTCCACCTTGGAAAGAAGCACAGGAACGGGCCAGCTGAGGGCAAATGGCAGAGAAGGTCCCTGGGGAGGTGGGATTCCCTCAAGTCCTCTGTGTGTGGGAGCCTGGCAGCGGTGTGATGTGAGAACATCACCTTGCAGGGGCTGGGTTGAGTTCATGGAGCTGTCCCACTGCTGCTGTCCCAGCCCCTCGTAGGGGGTGCCCACCCTGGGGAGTGTTGGGGTTCATCACAGCCCCTGCTCTGCACCAAAAAACCCTCCTGCATGGCTTGGGGAGTGAGTGTTGGGGCTCAGCCCTTGCTGTCTGCTCCAGGGGCTTCCAGCCCATTCCCAGCACACAGCAGGAATGTTCCTGCCTGCCCAGCAGGGAACTGGGAGGACAGACTGGTTTCACTGGGCTGGATGTCTCCGAAGGTCATTGCTCTGTGTGCCTCAAAGTCTCCTCTGCAGAGCTCTGTGCTTCTCAGCTGGCTTTGCTTTCCCTGTGAGAAGCCAAAGAGGCTTCACTGTTCCTCCTTGGGCAAGTCCCAACCCATGGTGGGCAACCATCAACCTGTGGTGGGCAACCATCAGCTGCTTGCATGGGGTGTGGAGTGGGAGGAGACGGCGGGCACAGGGTGGGCAGGCTGAGGGGGCTGTGGGGGCTGTGGGGGGCAATGCCCTCCATGGCCAGGGGTGTCTGGGGGGGCCTGCAGGGGTGGACACCCCACTAACCCCGTGCTGTGTCCCACAGCTGCACCCCATGAGGATGGACCAGCGGATGCCACCACTCATTCTGGAGGTGAGTCACTTCCCTCATTCCTCCCCCTGCATCCTCCTGCTCCCCTTGGTGAGGGACCACTGACATCCCCTGGAGCTGGGACATCCCCCCACCCACCCAGATCCACTGTGAGGACAAGGTGGCACCTCCACTCCCTCCTTCTGCCCCCACCACCAGGCAGGGCACGTCCTCCAACTCTGCCAGTCCCCAGGCACCTGTGTGTCCTTCATGGCTCCAGTTAATCCCTGAACTGGATCCCAGGGGCTGTGACAGGAGCCCTGAGTGACAGCCTGAGGCACCTGAATTCAGGGGAATCCCACACAGGCATGTCTGCACTGGGTCACCCCTGCTGTGCCCACCCTGGGCCGAGGACTTCACGGACTCATGGAATTGTTTAATTTGGAGAAGCTCTCCAAGACCATCAGGTCCAGCAGTGCCAAGGCCACCACTGACCCATGTCCCCAGGTGCCACATCCACAGGGCTGTTAAATCCTTCCAGGGATGGATGGGGACTCCACCCTTCCCCTGGGCAGCTGTGCCAGGGCTGGACAGCCCTTTCCATGAAGGAATTTTTTCCTAATATCCAATCTAAGCTCACCCTGGCACAGCTGGAGGCCGTTCCCTCTCCTCCTGTCCCTTGTTCCTTGGGAGCAGAGCCCAACCCCCCCCTGGCTCCCCCCTCCTGTCAGGGGGTTGCAGAGCCAGAAGGTCCCCCCTGAGCCTCCTTTTCTCCAGGCTGAGCCTCCCCAGCTCCCTCAGCTGTTCCTGGTTTTGGATGGAGCTCTGCTTGGGAAGTGCTTTGGGGTCTGAAGTGCCACCCCCTTGCTGAGCAGTGCCAGGGGGTCTGTGGTTACCACGTGTTTCTGGGCCACAAACAAGAAGTGCCCGTTTCTCCCTGTTGGAAGGATGCTGGAACTCTGGGGCTCCTGGGGACACAGTGGAGCATCCCATGGGACAATTCCATTGTTGTCCAGGTCCTGCACACACACACACAGCAGGGGGGCTGCAGCCACAGGCAGTCCCCACTGGTGTCCTCCCATGTGGTGACACCCCACTGCTGCCCCTCAACACCCTCCTGGGAAGCCTGAAGGAAAGAAAGGGAATTGGGTTTTAGTGGAAAAATAGGGAGAAGACTGTGCTCTGCAGGTAGGGGGGTTGTGGGAGAAAGGGATGTTGGGTGACACCGAAGGGGGGGGCAGGCAGAGGGCAGGGGGTCTCCAGCTGAGGATGCACCTCTGGCATCTGAAATTAGGGCCCTCCATGGAACCAGTTAGTTTGGGAAGGACCTCTAAAATCCACACCTTTCCACCTTTATCCGCCTGCCTGGTCACCTGCCCCACTGGAGGAGTGGGGAGGAGACCTTCCCTTGGGAACTGGAGGTGAGAAAGTGAAATGCCAGAGATAAGAGAAGTGTGGAAGTAAAAGGCATCCAGCACCTTCCCTGCTGGAGTGGCCAGCGGGGCCCTTCACTGCTCAGGTATGTGTGGCATCCGGAGCCACTGCGACTGCCTGGAGCTGGCTCCCGAGGGAACCCGTGCCAGTCTGGGTGCCAGGAGCACCCAGGGCTCAACTCCACAGCTTTGGAGTGGTTCTCCCTAGGGCAGGAACCCAGGCTGGACACTGGGAGGAAATCAGGGCTTTGGAGCCCTCTGGGAGGAGGGAGGTGAAGGGTCTCGGAGTCCCTTCCCTGCCTCCCACTGATGCCTTTGGGAATAAAGGGAAGGCAGGGGCTGATCTCTGGTGACAGGACCCAGGAACGGCTGGAGCTGTGCCAGGGCAGGGTTGGGTTGGATCTCAGGGAAAGGTTCTTCCCCCAGAGGCTGGTTGGGCACTGCCCAGGCTCCCCAGGGCAGTGGGCACAGCCCCAAGGCTGCCAGAGCTCCATGAGGGTTTGGACAACGCTCTGAGGGACAGGGGGGATTGTTGGGGTGTCTGTGCAGGGCCAGGAGTTGGACTGGATGATCATGGTGGATCCCTTGCATCTCAGGATATTCCATGACTCTGTGAGTGGCTTTAGGTTCCTCCTGAGTGAGAGTTCCCTCTGGAGCACGTGAGGGGGTTGTTTGAGCTTCCTTTAACAAGGGACTTTTCAGGGCCTGATAAGCATGGACATGTTATGGTTGGACTTGATGATCTTAGAGGTCTTTTCCACCATAAGGATTCCATGATTCCATAGGATTCCCAGTGCAGTGGGCACACACCCCAGTCCCAGTCTGGTGTACTCTGTTCTGGGGCAGTGTAGCCCTTCCCAGCCTGGCTTCCCTGAGCTCCTGTCCCTGGAGAAGAGGCTGTATTTGTGGAGAGGAGGTGTATTTCTGGACAGGAGGCTGTATTTGTGGAGAGGAGGTGTATTTGTGGAGAAGAGGCTGTATTTGTGGAGAAGAGGCTGTATTTGTGGAGAAGAGGCTGTATTTCTGGAGAAGAGGCTGTATTTCTGGAGAAGAGGCTGTATTTCTGGAGAAGAGGCTGTATTAGTGGAGCAGAGGCTGTATTTGTGGAGCAGAGGCTGTATTTCTGGAGAAGAGGCTGTATTAGTGGAGCAGAGGCTGTATTTGTGGAGAAGAGGCTGTATTTCTGGAGAAGAGGCTGTATTAGTGGAGCAGAGGCTGTATTTGTGGAGCAGAGGCTGTATTTGTGGAGCAGAGGCTGTATTAGTGGAGCAGAGGCTGTATTTGTGGAGAGGAGGGTGTATTTCTGGAGAAGAGGCTGTATTTCTGGAGAAGAGGCTGTATTTCTGGAGAAGAGGCTGTATCAGTGGAGCAGAGGCTGTATTTGTGGAGCAGAGGCTGTATTTCTGGAGAAGAGGCTGTATCAGTGGAGCAGAGGCTGTATTTGTGCCCGTCCCTGTGCCTGGGGAGGTGCCAGCTCAGCCAAGCGCCGCCAGTTGTGCTCCCGGAGGGGCAAAGGCCCTTGGAATGAGCTGGATCCCAGGTGATACGTTTTGCTGGAAAGGACAAGGAAGTCTCTTGGCCCCCCTCCAGCTTTGTTATGAGCAGTGGAGTTGCAGCAGGGCTGACTTTGGCCCCTGGCACTCTGGTGACATAGTTCAGGGCTGTACAACCCTGGGCAGGGCGTGGGCTGAGATCAGCTCGTGCTCCTGGAGTGCACTGAGGGCTCTGCCAGGGAAACCTGGCGGCTCTGCCAGCTCCTCTACATATGAATGAGTCTCCGAGGGCTTTGCAAGGAGCTTGACACATGGATAACCACATAATTAAAGGCTGGAGCTTTGCAGAAGAGCATTAGAGCTGGTATCTGTAACCACAGAGAGCAGAACTTGAGTCATCCAACGCCAGGGGATGAATTTCCTAGAGGATTGCTCCATCAGGTTGCTGACTTATTGGGCCTGGATCCAGTGGGATGCCACAGCAGACAGGAACCAGGAGGGGAAGGAACCTGCTTGTCTGAGCCAGAAGTCCTGTTAGCTTGGAGGACCCAGGCTTGTAAAAACAGCTCTGTAAAACCAGGACTAAGCCAAAGGTGAAGTGAGGGCTGAGTCACTCTGCCAAGGTGAGGCAGTAAGAGTGTGCCTGGAGGTTTCCATCTTAGGCTCAGAGTGCACTGAACAACAACACTTAGATTTCTAGGCCCAAATTATTCTCAATTAATTAAAGATGCTGTCCTAGAATTTCTCAGGTAATTAAAGACACTGCCCCAGAATAAAACCCATCTCAGGCTGCTGAGTTTGAAGGAGACCAGAGCCAGCATGTCCAAGGTGCACTGCAAATCCAACATGCCCAAGGTGTGAGAGCATGGCTGGAGCAGAGCTTCTGCTTTCCTCCCATTCCTAGTGTCAGTCTCTCCTTTGTGTGCCCCAGGCTTTGTGCCCAAAGCTTGTCTCCCCTTTATCAGGCTGTATTCCTCCCCTAACTGCATCCTCTGTGTTACCAGTGGAGGTATGGAGGAGGGAAGTGGGGCAGAGGACAGTGATTCACTGCTGGGGCGTCTGGCTGAGTCAGAGACTGAGCTAAATCAGCTCAGCCTGTGGCTCCTGGGCCATTCCTGACGCTCTCCCCCTTTCCTGCTGGCTCAAATCCCTGTTGGGCATTGCCCCCACAACCAGAGGGGACCTCTCTTCCCAAGTTCCTCTTCCCAGGTTCCTCTTCCCAAGTTCTCCTGTCCGTGTTTTTTCGCCCCAGGCACGCTCTGAGATGGACAAGTACCTTTCCAGCGAGGTGCCCCCCATCCCGATGCTGCCGGACAAGAAGTACCGTCGGGAGAGCGCCTCGGTGGTGGACGAGTTCTTCTCCACGGAGAAGCCCAGCTCCACCCCCTACAGCGTCAACATCAACGTCATCCTGCCGGACACGACCCACCTGCGCACGGGGCTCTACCGGCCCCCCAAACCCATGGCACCCTTCCCACAGATCAAAACCGAGCCCGGCACCGGCTTCGCCCAGCCCTGCTCGTCGGCGCCCGGCCCCACGCAGACCCTGCCCGACTTCACCAGCGTGTTCAGCATGCCCCAGTCGGTGGCGGTCAACAACATCTTCATCAAGCAGGAGATGCCCTCGGAGGTCCCCTTGTCTGCCCCCCCCCAGCCGTCCCAGCTCTACCAGCTGCCCCTGGGCGGCGGCAGCGCCGACGTCCCCGCCCTGACGTCCTCGGGCAGCACCACCACGGCCGTCAGCTGCCTCGGGGGGGTCACCATGGCCACGGGCAGCACCATGGCCAGCGTGGGCCACAGGCCCGTCCCGCCGGCGGGGCCGCTGAAGCAGTACCCACACGTGTCCCAGGGACAGGGCAGCTTCAACATCTCCGGGCAGTTCTACCCTGCCCCGGGGGTCACCCTGCCCCCCTCGCCCCCCAACTCGCAGCCGGGCAGCCCAGAGAACCAGCCCGAGCTCATCAACACCATCTCCCCCCCGCCGTCCTACGAGGCCACTTTTGGACTGAAACTGGTCCAGTCATCCCAGGTGCCCCCGGTCCCCAATGGCGTCGGGACCCTCTCCCAGGGGCACATTGTCATGCAGCCCCCCAAGTACAACCGACGCAACAACCCTGAGCTGGAGAAGAGGAGGATCCACCACTGTGACTACCCAGGTGTGTGCAGGGCTTGGCTTCGGGGGGGTCTCTTGGCACCCTGAGGATGGTTGGGGGCTGCCTTGGGCCTCTTTTTTAATCTCAAATCCTCTTATCTGCGTGATGGAGGGAGCTGTGGAGTCCAGCGGAGAGCCCTGGGGAAGTGGGAGGGAATAGAAGAGGTTGATCCCACCTGCACTGTCTGGTGCCTGTTGTCTCCCTTTCCCTCTCCCCTTCATGCTCTGGCAAAAGCAAGCCCGGCTCTGAGGGGCAGAGAGGTCCTGCAAAGCACAGGGATGCTCCTGGAAAGCTGCTCCTCAGCTGCCTGTTTTGCTCTGGTCTTGAATAACCCCACGTGGAATCACCTCTGCAGGTGAAAGCACGCTGCCTTTCTCACTGACTCTTCCTTTCCTGCTCTCTCATAGAGGGTGGAAAACCAGGAAGTAATTTCCACAAGCAGCCTTGATGGTCTCTCTCTGTAGCCCCAATTCTTCCAAACAGGCAATGAAGTTGAGGGTCTTCATGTCATGTCCTTCCATGGCTTCGTGTCCTGCATCACGGTGGTGTGAAAGGGCATTTCAGTGGAATCATGGAATGGTTTGGATTGGAAGGACCTTAAAGATCACTCAGTTCCACCCCTGCCATGGGCAGGGACACTTTCACTATCCCAGGTTGCTCCAACCTGGCCTTGGACACTTCCAGGGATGGGGCAGCCACGGCTTCTCTGGGCAACCTGTGCCAGAGCCTCCTCACCCTCATTGTATGAAACTTGTCCAGCCCAGAGCTGAAGGTGTTCCCTGTGCCTTCCCACTCCGTGAGGTGTCCATCTAATGATGGACATCTGTGGTGCCTTGGCAGGTGGAGACCTTGCCGAGTTCCCTGGACCCACAGCTGCAAACTCACATTCACTCATTCCTTCCTTCATTCCCCATCCCTGGAAGTATTCAAGGCCAGGCTGGAGCAACCAGGTGTCCCTGCCTATGGCAGGGGGTGGAAGGTCCCTCCTGCCACAAACAGTTCTGGGATTCCGTGACACACAGGAGGGAAGCAAATCCCAAGTGAGAGATCCCAGCTGAGAGCAGAGTGAGGGCTTGAAAATCCCCACTCCCAGGGCAGGGACACACACCTCCCACTTCCTGGGCTGATCTCCAGCTGCTGACCAGTAGTGGATTAGCAAACAGTTTTCCCAAGGGGGTGTTTGAACCGAGGAGAGTCATTTCCTACCTGCCTCCTGGGAGATTTATGTGCTCTTTCTGTGGTGTAGGAGCGTCTGGAGCAAGGCAGCTCAGAGGCTTTGCCTAGTCCAGGTCCTGTCTCCAGGATCTTACCCCTTCCCACCCTCTGGCAACCTGCAGAGCAGGGATTTTCTGAGCCAGCAGCTGCCCCCATGTTCTTGGGGTTGACAGCATGTGCTGCTTTTTACCTTCCACCTGAAGGCTGTAAGTGGAGCACTGCTCTGGGACAGACTCCTTGCTCTTGTCTCGCTGCTCTGAGGAAGAGTCTCCTCCTGTAAGATGAAGTACCAAGGCAAAACTCACCTGTTTTCAGCAGGATTTTGGTCTGTGGTGCAAAAAAACCCCTCAGCAACCTGTGCTGAACAAACACTGGGTGTCTGAGGGGTGTGTACGTGCAGAGACAGAGCTGGGCTCTGGCTCAGCCTTCACTCTGAGGTTCAGCTGGAGGTGAGACCAGTCAGGACTTCTGGCAGGGGCAGCAGCTCTCACTGCCATGGGCTGTGTGAGGCAGGGAAGGGACACGGGGAGAATTCACACCTGGAACTGCAGGAATGGGGGAGATGTATTTGCAAAGCCCCATCCAGCACCTTCTAGGCCCTAAAGGGGCCCCAAGAGACTTGGAGAGGGATTTGGACAAAGGCCTGGAGGGACACGACAGGGGGAATGGCTTCAAACTGCCGGAGTTAGATGGAATGCTGGGGAGGAATTCTGGGCTGGGAGGGTGGGGAGGCCCTGGCACAGGTTGCCCAGAGAAGCTGTGGCTGCCCCATCCCTGGAAATATCCAAGGCCAGGTTGGAACAATCTGGGCTAGTGGAAGGTGTCCCTGCCCATGGCAGGGGATGGGACAGGATGGGCTTTAAGGTCCTTTCCAATCCAAACCAGTCTGTGATTCCACGATTTCTCTTCCAAGTGTGAGGCTTCAGAGCACCAGCAGCAGAACTGAAGTGGGTCACCAACCCTTGTCCCCCCCCAGCCAGGAGGGATAAGGTCTCCCACCACCTGAGCAGGATGGGACCAAGGGCTGAGCTGGGGCAAGAGGCTTCTTTAGGCTGGGTGGAAACGCTGGAATGGAAAATGGGACCATTATGCAGGTCATAAAAATTCAAATTCATATTTTAGTCTGCTTGTCAAAACACAAAGCAGCAGGGCCAGGAAGGCAGCAGGAGGGGCTCTCCTGAGCCCTCTCTGACTGAAAAGAGGAACTGAGGACTCGTTTTGACACACCTGCTGTTGAAACTTCTGCCCGGATCACAGTGTTTCGGTCAGACCCTTTCTTTGACTAAACTGTCCTTGCAGAGCTTCTGCAAACACTTCCCACTGGCTTTATTCTGGATCCTGGAAGGCAAGTAGTGGCTCCACACTGTACCTGATGTTTCCTGCTGCCTGGGACATTTTTACCACGTCTGCTGGGGCTGGGACTGTTACAAAATACACCTTCCCTCCAGCCTTGCAAAGTGATATCAGTTATGTCTGGAATCCAGAGAGACAAAGGGCAGCACAAAGCCAGCAGCTAATGGGGGTGAATTGAGTGTTTTTATCCTGCCTGGAAGATCTGGTGGAGGAAGGGGAGGTTTGAATGTTTGTGCCTGATTCTTCCCCCCCTAATTCCCAGCACAATGGCCAGGGGTGTCAGGATTGTGTCCAAAGATGATGTAAAGGCCTGTCTGTCTGGGAGAACAAATGCTCTTTAGTTCCTGCTGAACCCAAGTAGTACAGCCAGGCTTATTTGCATTACCCAGCTCTGTCCCTCACCTCAAATATCAGAGACTGTTTGAGCAAGGGCCCCTTTCTCATGAGGAAATTGTGGGGTTTTTTTCCTGTTCTTGCAGGTTGCTCCAAAGTTTATACCAAGAGCTCCCACCTGAAGGCACATCAGAGGACTCACACAGGTAAGAGCAGCACAGCACCAGGAAATGCTGCCTGTGCTCCTTCCCTGTCCTGTTAATGGTGCTGAGAATGTCACTGAGCTGTTTCATCTGGTCAGGATAAGGAGCACAGGCAGGTCTGCTGCTGTTAATGCTGAGAAAACTCCAGGGGTTGTGCTGGTTTATAGTGGATTTTATAGGACACACACTGCTGTGGGTGCTTGCTTGCCTTCTGCTGGGATGGTCTGGAATTTAGGAGAACTCTGGGAGGCTCTCGAGTCAATGGTTTGGAAGAGATGCCTCCTAAACCCCCCAAAAAGAAGGCAAGGTTAGATGGGATGTTGGGAAGAGGGTGGGGAGGCCCTGGCACAGGTTTCCCTGAGAAGCTGTGGCTGCCCCATCCCTGGAAGTGCCCAAGGCCAGGTTGGACAGGGCTTGGAGCAGCTTGGACTAGTGGAAGGTGTCCCTGCCCATGGCAGGGGGTGGGACTGGATGAGCTTTAAGGTCCCTTCCAACCCAACCCAGTCTGGGATTCTGGGATCCTCTGTCACTCTGAGCTCTTCCTTTGAGATCTGCCAGATCCTCCCCAGATCTGATCCTGCTTCTCCCACAGAAGGATTGTGTGAAGGCCTGTGTTGCCTGCACAGGACCTCTGAGGAGACAAGGGCTGTCTCTTTTTTGTCAGCACCCCTGTGACTCCCAAGGAAGGGAGGGGACCCCTCGTGTCTCCCTGTTTACACTGACCACTCGTGTCCCCTCAGCAGCTGCCAGTGGTGCATCACTCCCAACCCACCTCCAGAAGGGCTCCAAATCCATGCACAGAAGGGCTGTGCCCTCCTTCCCAGGGCAGGGGTGCCCTCGCTGGTGCAAACAGAGTGCCCAGCCCAGAGCAGCTCCCACCACAGCCAGCTCCCCTCGGTGCCACTTGTGCATTCAAGCCCAGGTCCCCTCATTAAGGCATTTATTATACCTGAAACTTTATCAGATCCCCTGGTAGTCCAGGAACCATCAGTGCCCTCATAAATCTCTTTTATAGAAGGGCTGATCTTTACTGAAAGCAATTAAGCTGGCCCAGAGTTCACTTTTCTTTTTTTATGAACAACGACCAAACCCCATCCCGTGGCTGGGAATCGCTTCCTGCTCTTGGCTCCCTTCCCTTCTCCCCTTATCAGCCCCTTGAACACTCCAGCAAAGAATTTTTCTTTGTGTGTGTGAGGTACAATATTTTTTTGGCAGGATCTGGGTAGGAGTGGGCTGGAGACCAGCACAGAAAGGAACAGGAAGGATGTTGTCCCTGCTCCCAAAGCTGGGTGGTGACAGGCCTTTGTCACAGGGCTCTGCTTTAAAATGAAAACTCTCTTTCCCCCTTCACTTCAGAGCTCCATGACCCACCTGAGTCAGGCAGTATAAAGAGGTGTCCAGGAAAACCTGGGTGGCTTTTAAATCCAATCAAATGTGGTGGTTTTTCCAGGTTTCCCAGTAACTGGGTTGGAAAGCCTCGTGTGTTTGCCTCCTTCCACTTCACTTACTCAAAGAGGGAAGGGCATAGAGGTGAGGGAGGGTGTGATCTGAGTAGTGAAGAGAACTTTTGGTGGTGTGGAGCGAGTAAAAAGAAGGGAATCCAATCCAGGGCCAGACACAGGCAGGCTCGGGGTTTCTGCATCCAATATTTTAAGCCTCATGTTTTGCTTTTGAGGCTTTCACCTCACTGGAGCTGCAATGGCAGGACCCATCCCAACTCCTGCCCGATGCCACCTCAGCTCCATCCCCTGAAGGGTTAATCATGTCCTTCCTCCCCATTCCCTGCCTGGGCTGAGAAGTACCTGATCTCTGAGATCTTTCCTTGTGGTTTTGCTGTGGGCTGGGCCGTGTCCCTCTCCTGGAGACACCATTCATTTCCTGGGAGCCATTGTGAGATTAAATATCTAACCCGTGGCTGCTCCCCCGCCTCCCCCGGGGCCGGGAATGCCCGTTCGGGCCCTTTGTTTGAGCCTGCCCTGCCGTGCTGTCCTGGGAGATGGAGCCAGCTCCTGGGACAATGGTTTCCATCCTGGAGATCAACCTGGTATTGTTTACAACCGAAGGGCCTCGGTGTGGCTGACCCAGCCAGGTGACCTGCTGGGGACAATGTCTGGGCTGCACTGGGTGGGCGAATCCCGCCTTTGTCTTGGCACGCTGAGGCACCCCCAGATCCCATAAAACACCCGGCCAACTGCTGGTAAGCCCTCTGCAGAACCTGTATTTCCCTGAGCCATAAAAAATACACCTCCCTCCTCCCCGTGGTGCAGCCTCCAGGGGTTTTTTGAGGAGCAGGATGTGGTCCTGGCAACCTGTCTCCTCCAGGTTTCACGGCTGCGGGCAAGGCCCTGGAGATCTTGCTGTGGCCCAGTGTTTTCACTTTCCTGCCCAAACGTGGCTTCCCCTCCCCTGGAAGTTCTCAAGGCCAGCTTGGAATGAGCCTGGAGCAATGTGGCCTAGCGGAAGGTGCCCCTGCCCCTTTATTACCCCTGGAAGTGCTCAAGGCCAGCTTGGAATGAGCCTGGTCTAGTGGAAGGTGCCCCTGACCCTTCTTCACCCCTGGAAGTGTTCCAGACTGGCTTGGAAGGTGCCCGTGCCCCTTCCCCAGCCCTGGAAGTGTTCAAGACTGGCTTGGAAGGTGCCCGTGCCCCTTCCCCAGCCCTGGAAGTGTTCAAGACTGGCTTGGAAGGTGCCCGTGCCCCTTCCCCAGCCCTGGAAGTGCTCAAGATCGGTTTGGAATGAGCCTGGTCTAGTGGAAGGTGTCCCTGCCGCTTCCCCAGCCCTGGAAGTGCTCAAGGCCAGCCTGGTCTAGTGGAAGGTGCCCCTGACCCTTCTTCACCCCTGGAAGTGTTCAAGGCCAGCTTGAAAGGAGCCTGGAGCACTGTGGTGTAGTGGAAGGTGCTCCTGCTCCTTCCCCAGCCCTGGCAGTGCTCCAGGCTGGTTTGGAAGGTGTCCTGTCTATTGGAAGGTGCTCCTGCCTCTTTCCCAGCCCTGGAGGTGCTCCAGGCCAGCTTGGAAGGAGCCTGGAGCTTCCACTGTGGTCTAGTGGAAGGTGCTCCTGCCCCTTGCCCAGCCCTGGAAGTGCCCAAAGCCGGTTTGGAAGGCGCCTCATCCAGCGGAAGGTGCCCCTGCCCGCGGGACACGGGACGAGCTGTGAGGTGCCTTCCGACCCGATCCACGGCACGATCCCCCGGCTGTGCCAGGCCCAGGGGCTGCGGGGAAGGCAGAGCCGCTGCGTGGGGAGCGTGTGAGAGCGGGGCACACATGCCTGTGCACGCCGGGCGCGGGCGTACGTGCGCTGGGCCGCGACGCCGCGCGCGGCAATTGGCCGCTGCGACGGTAAATATTTGAGGTCGGGAAAGTCAGCACATTCCCTGAACTCTGCCTGCTTGTTCAGGCTGTTAAGAGCGAGGGCTAATATTTGAGAGCGCCACACCCTTGCGTGGAGAGGGCTGCAGCCAGGGTTCAAGCTCCACAACCCGGGCACGCAGGCGGTTGGAAGCGGCCACTGGCTTTTCCAGCCCAGTTCCCAGCTGGCCGAGGAGTTGCGTGATTTAATGGGTTTCAGTTGGGGAAAATAGGTGTGTGAGGGAGGGAGGGAGGGAGGGAGGAGGGCAGAGGCATTACATCACCCCGAGGAAAACACAATGTGTTGTGTACAGAGCTGCTCCCCGGGTGAACTTCGAGGCAGAGAGACACTGAGGGGCTGGAGCGTGTCCAGGGAAGGGAATGGAGCACAAGGAGAACTTCTGAGGGAGCTGCGGGGGAGCTCAGCCTCCCCCGCATCAAACTCCATTTATCTTGACCCACAAAGGGTTTTTTTCTAGCTTATTTTCTCCCTCCCCCTGCTGCTGAGCACTGGAGCAGCTTGGTGGGCACCTGGTGGCCAGCCAAGGTCACCCCCCACACCTCATGTCACCTGTAAACGGGCGTTTGGGAGAGGAAGACGGAGTGTTCCCCGGGGGAAAAGGAAAAATTTTAATTCCTCACCCATTTTGGTGCCAGCAAACGTTGGCAGTGGATGGGACACTCTTCTGATCTCCGTTTTGGTGAGACAGGAGCCCTCAAGTTGCCAGAAGCAGCTGGGCAACATTCTCAGATCATGGAACCAAGGAGTGGTGTGGGTTGGGAGGGGTCTTTGGAGGTCAGCTAGGACTTTAGGGACACCTTCCACTAGGCCAGGTTGCTCCAAGACCTGTCTTTGAACAATTCCAGGCATGGGACAGCCACCATCCCTGGGTGGTGGTCTCAAAAAAAGGTCAGTGCTGTAATTCCTGTCTTCCTTCTCATGCTCCCCACCACCTGTATGGGCAGCACCACCTTCCTTAGGAATTCCTGACTTTTCATTTGAAAAAAAAAAATCCCAACAAACTCAAAAGTTTTTTTTAAAGCCAGAAATGCTCCAAAATCCAACAGGAAAATCCCCCCCACCTGTATGAGCAGCGACACCTTCCTTAGGAATTCCTGACTTTTCATTTAAAAAAAAACCCAAACCAACAACAAACTCCAAAGTTTGGGGTTTTTTTAAGCCAGAAATGCTCCAAAATCCAACAGGAAAATCCCTCCTGCCTGTATGAGCAGCAACACCTTTCTTAGGAACTCTTGACTTTTTATTTAAAAAACCCAACAAACTCAGAAGTTGTTTTTTTTTTTTTTAAGCCAGAAACGTTCCAAAATCTGACAGGAAAATCCTCCCCACCTATATAAGCAGCACCACCTTCCTTAGGAATTCCTGACTTTTCATTTGAAAAAAAAAATCCCAACAAACTCAAAAGTTTTTTTTTAAAGCCAGAAATGCTCCAAAATCCAACAGGAAAATCCCTCCCACCTGTATGAGCAGCGACACCTTTCTTAGGAACTGCTGACTTTTTATTTAAAAAACCCAACAAACTCAGAAATTTGGTTTTTTTTTTTAAGCCAGAAACGCTCCAAAATGCAACAGGAACACGGGCAGCCCTAGAAAACAAGCCTAGAAAGCAAAGTGGGACATGAAAACAAGCCTGAAAAGCAAAGTGGGAGCAGGGTGAAGAGGGGCAAGACGTGGCTGCTGCAGCTCAGCAGTCCACGATGCCCGCGGTGACTCCGGGCGAGCCCTGGCAGTGCCAGGGTGCCCTCGTTGGTCCTCCTGAGGAAGTTGGGCGTCTCCCAGGGGACGGGGTGGGTTTCTGGGAGGCTGTGCCCGTGACCTGTGGCTGTCCCCCGCAGGTGAGAAGCCCTACAAGTGCACCTGGGAGGGCTGTGACTGGCGCTTCGCCCGCTCCGACGAGCTCACCCGGCACTATCGGAAGCACACGGGGGCCAAGCCCTTCAAGTGCCTCGCCTGCGGCCGCTGCTTCTCCCGCTCCGACCACCTGGCCCTGCACATGAAGAGGCACCAGAACTAGGAGTTGCCTCCTTCCCACACTTCTCCAAGAGCAGCTGGAACTCTTTCCTCCTCCGAGGGGCCTCCCCTCGTGCTGTACATAGGAACAAACCCACGCTGTGATCAACTGGCAGGGCAGGGATGGCGGGTGAACCCCCTGCCAGGCCTGTCCCCGACTCTTTCTGGTTTTAAAAGAAATTAAAACCCCAACTGGCTCGTTTACAATGAGTTCTAATTACAGACTGATCTCCTGACGAGGCTCCCGGTGCCACTGGGCTGACAGACCTTGGATTCCAAAGGGCTTTCTTCCGGCAAACCTGCTATTTATTTGTCACTCAGGAGCAACTGTCCTTCCTGCCTCAAGTTCTTGGGGATGGTTTTTTTACCCCTTCCAGGGTGGTGCCTTTGGTGAGGCCCAGGAGGGATGTGACGGGTCAGCAGCTTGGACCCTCTTGGACTGCCCCATGGCATGGCCATGGATGTGACACCTTCTGCCATGGTGTGACCATGGATGTGACACCTCGCCCCATGGTGTGACCATGGATGTGGCACCTTGTCCCATGAAGTGACCGTGGATGGGACACCTTGTCCCATGGTGTGACCCCCTTGTCTCATGGTGTGACCATGGATGTGGCACCTTGTCCCATGAAGTGACCGTGGATGGGACACCTTGCCCCTTGGCATGGCCATGGATGTGACACTTTGCCCCATGGTGTGACACCTTGCCCCTTGGCATGGCCATGGATGTGACACTTTGCCCCATGGTGTGACCATGAAGGTGGCACCTCTGTTGTGTGAGAACAGGAGCACATGCCCAGGGCTGTTTGAGTTGACAATCCCAGTCTCTGTGGGGGCATAAGAGGAGAAGACCTATGACATACTCACCTGACGTGCCTTCAAGCAAGGGACAGCACAAAAGCAGGTGACAGAAGCCCCACCTGTGTCCTGTTGAGCCCAGCTGTGGTTTCCTGGCAGCAGCTCAGCTCAGCAAACACCTGCCCTGCCTGGCGAGGTTTTTCGGTTGTGTCCTTAGCATTTCTGCTTCCAAGATGAATTTTGACTTCAGGTGTCTCTGGGAGGACCGGCATGGGTTTGAAGCCACCCAAAAAGCCACTGATGAAGGTCTGGTTTCCCAGAAGACACCGGTGGTGCCTTTCTCCAGAAGACGCACACAAGGACTCTGTGGTCGCCGATCACACCAGGTCTGTGCTGTTGCCATTTCATCACCTTCAGATGAGGGGAAAAAAAATAGAAAAAAAGCATCTTTGAAACAAATTCCAATAAATCCTCCTGTTCAGATTGTAATCACATTTACCTACCTCACAAGTTCATGACCTCGGGCTCCGTGAGCACCTTCCCCCCTTGCTGTGGGGTGCCACGACACGTGGGGCACATCACCCGCTCTCCAAAGCCTACCAGGGGTTAAATTTGGGCAGGACAAGAGCCAGGCCCTGCCAGTTCCAACAGCAGCTGTGTGGGTCATAAATAAATCAAGAACAAATAATGGGCCTGGTGTGTCCAACTGAATATTGATTTTCCTCACACCCTCCTCCTCTTTTATTTCTCCTCGAACAAATTTCGGTGCCCCGTGGCCTGATGTGTGTCTGCAGTGTGGGATGAGAGGCCACGCTGAACTGGGGCATCTTTGAGTGGTGGGAATGTGGAGGCCACTCCTCTCTGCTGGTGTCAAACTGCATGGGAGCCACAGCCCATCCTTGGGGTCCTGCTCGTGCTTTTCCTTGGATAAATAAAGCCGAGGGGCACCTGTGGCAGGAGAGGAGGGCAGGGAGGATCTGGGGGGTCCGTGGTGTGGTGTAGGCTTTGGGGTGGGTGATGTGCCCACGGCTGATGGCCCAGCGCTGCCGTGAGCCCTTGGGGTGGCTCTTTGGCTCTCAGGCAGGGTGGGAATGTCAGGCCATGGAATTGCTGGAGGTGGCTTAGGTGGCTTTTCCAATGGTGCATGGGAAGGGCTTTCCAGCCCTCAGCACCAGGGCTGGAGGGTCTGACATCAGCAACCTCTTGACACCGAGCTCAAGTGAAGGTCGGAGGGCCTGGCTCATACCCAGCTGACCACGTGGATGGACCTCCAAGTGCTTTTTCCAATCCCTTTTCCAACTCTTCCGTTGCTTGTCGTGGCAGCTCCATGAGGATTGGCTGGCCGTGGGGCCAAGGGGCTCGTTGGCCATGTCCCTTGTTGCCTGTGGGCTCTGGCTCCTCTCTGGGGCACAGGGCAGGACCTTGCCAATGCCACCCCCACGACCTGGGCTCCTTCCTGTGACCTGAGCTCACCTGGGAGGTTGGACCTGCGGTGCCACCCCCTCCCGGCGAAGGTAGAACCACAGGGGACAGTTTTACCTCTTGCCTTGTGCCTGGGAGGTGGATCTGGAGAGCCCCAGGGAAGGTCTCTGATGATGGAAAAGCCTCTTGGAGAGCAGTGGTGGAGCGGCCCGGACAAGCTCATCCCAAAGGAATTTCAGCACAGTGTGGAGATGCCTCAGCCAGTCCCCCACCCGTGTCTCCAGGAGGCTCAGGGTGTCTCCAGGAGGCTCAGGGTGTCTCCAGGAAGCTCAGGTTGGCTTGGTGAGGTTGGTGGGGACCCCCCATGGCCATGCTGGGACCTGCTGAGCTCCACTCCCTCCACTGGCACAGCTCAGCCCCTCCATGGATGAGCCCTGGCACAGGGAACCTGTGTCCCCACGCCCCCCAGGAGCTCCCATGGTTGCAATCCCAACCTCCACGCTCCAAGATGGCTTTTTGGTGCACCTTTTGTGGTTGAACCTCCTCAAGGCCTGAGCTAAAGCACAAGGCACGGGGTCCCCCCGCTGTCGGGGGGTCACCCCCACCCCTGGCCCTCTCAGAGGGGTCCCTTTGCCCCCCTCTGCTTTTTGGAGAAGGAAAGCTCTGCTGTGATTCTGAGGGGGGCCCAAAACCAGTTGGCTAAAAACCACTCCAAAGCCAGACCAACCAACAGGCAGCTTGAAATTTTAAATAATTTTCCTGATAATATCTTTTTTTTTTATTTTCACTAAAGAAAAAAAATGCACCTCCTTGTCCTCTCTCTGTGTATATATATATATATAAATATATATTTTTTTTTTAAATTTGATGGGGAGGGGCAGAGGAAGAAGTGTCTTAACACCCCAGCCCAGCCCAGCCCCACTGCTCTGTATGCAAAGTGCTGCCATGCAAATGCTTGGCTATGCAAAGGCAACACTTGGGGTGTTTTCTTTTTTTAAAAAAAGAGGAAAACCACAACAAGCCTTGGCTTTTATTTCTCTATTTTTATATGTACAGAAGTGGACAGCTTTAGGTTTGCCTTTCATGGCATTTTATGGCATTTCATGGCATTTTCGTGGCTGTTTCTGGGGAGCAGGACGGGGAGACGGGGAGCGATGCTGATGGAACCTTGTGGTGATCCCAGCCTCCATCCCCAATCCCAGGGGACACTGGGGTGACAGGGACTTAGGAAAAGCTTTCCAAGGAGCTGATGGAAGGCCAGGAGGTGGGGCCTGGTCTCTGTATGATAACGGGGAGAAAATCGCTGTAAATAGGCAAAAAAAGCGCGGTGTGGCTTCGTGGGGCTGTGGATTCAGGGTGATCCTTTCCTGTGCAAGATGAACACAATGTGAAAGAAATTGGGGCCCTGGAGAACTTGGGTGGAAGATTTATTTCGCTGGTGATGCTGTGTTTGTTACAGAACTCCTTCTCCCCTGCCAAACTCCCCTGTGACTATTAATCCATCTCATATTTTGTAATAAAATTTTATCACGTGGAGACGTTGTCTGCCTTCTGTTCCCTCCTGTTAAAAATGCCTTTTTTTTTTTTTTTTTTTTTTTGCCTTTACCCTCTGCTTTTACAAGCTTAAGAAAATGGGGAAAAAAGGTTTTTTTAATTGGGAAAGTGGGTCTCTGGGCAAGGAAGGATCTGTGCATGGCGAGAGCCTGCAGCCCTGTCCCAGGTTGATGTTGCAATATTATAAACAATATTTATTTTTAATGCTCTTCACCTTCACTAAGTGCTCCCACTTTTTCGTTGTGTGAGGGGAGAAAGGACACCCACAGACCTTGGGGGTCAGAGGGAGTCAGAGCAGAGCTAGGCAGGGGGAGGAGAGATAAGCCAGGGGAACATGAGGAAGTGCTGGGTTGGGCTCCGAAATCCCTCTGAGTGAACTGTTGTGTGTGTATAAACACATTTGTCCATATGCAAACAGCTCTGAGAGGGCTGATGAGCTCATGCCTTTAGCATGGACACACCCAACACCCCCCAGACCCCCCAGCCCCCCCTGCCCTTGTAACTCCACAGGCTGAACCAAACAGCTCTTTCTAAGCCGTTCCTGGCAGGATCCCACCTGCCTTCTCCAGCATCTCCTTTGTCACAGTCACCTCCCAGCCCGGCTACACTTGCAGGATCATGTTCAAACCAACAATTCCCTAAAGCTTCCCAAAGGTCTTGTGTTTCAGCTTCATTTTTTGGTGAAGAAAATCCTCTTTCCCTGACTGATTAAGTCCCTTCAGCTCAAACGTTGTTCCGATGCCCGGGCGAGTTGTGTTACATCGAACCACGGGATCGTTTGGGTTGGAAGAGCCTTCCAAGAGCACCAAGTCCAACTGTTCCCTCAGCTCTGCCAAGGCCAACACAGTTATAACCAAGTGCCACATCCACGTGCCTAGACACGAGCCCACAGATAGAAGGAATTTTTGTGGGATCCCCAACACAAAACAAAGGAAGATGTTTTTACAATGAGGGTGGGGAGGCCCTGGCACAGGTTGCCCAGAGAAGCTGTGGCTGCCCCATCCCTGGAAGTGTCCAAGGCCTGGTTGGAGCAGCCTGGTCTACTGGAAGGTGTCTCTGCCCATGGCAGGAGGTTGGAACTGGATGATTTTTAAGGTCCTTTCCATTCCATGATTCCATGATCTACGGCACAACACGCCTTGTTTGAAGCCATCTCCTGCTCTGAAAGTATTCATGGAAACTCTGATTTTTGGTGTATGGTCTCACATTGCCCAGGAGGGAAGGAGCCAGGCCACTGGCTCATCTTTGCTCAATACATTCCCATGGAAAGAGCCATCACGTGCCTGAACACCTGAACATCTCCAGGAACCCCCTCCTGTCCTTCAGCACATGCTGTGCTCTGGACTTTGCTCTGGCTGTGCAGCCAAGCTGTTCCTGGGGAGATCCCCAGGACAGTGGATCACAGGGAAGCTCTACCACCATGCCAGGAAAGCTGAGTGCATGGGAAACTGAAGTGTCCTTCCTCAGTGGAGCTGCAGCGGGGAAAACCCCGGAGAGGGCACTGGAGGGAGAGATGGAAGAGCTTTCTGAGGTTCCTTTGGGACAACCCCTCCCTGGAACACCGAGGAGAAGGCGGCAGTTAAAAAAATCCCCTTTCAACAGGGGTAAATCTGGGATGGCTTTTTGAGCTCTGCTCGAAGCAGAGAGGGGAGATCAGGCTCCTCCCCAGCGGGTGCCCAGCAGAGCAGGACCCTGCCCTGCCCAAAGCCCTTCCCCTGCAGACCCCCCTCACCCACCCCTTGACTTTCACTGCCCCCAGTGCCCCCCCAGTGCTGGCACCGTCCCCGCCTTGTTTGTGCTGCCAGGGTGAAGCAAGGGCTGTAAACCCTGGATCCATCCCACTGACCATCCCCTGGGGCTGTTAAAGCTGCGGGAATGCCAGGATCCGGCTGCTCAAGGACAGGGAGGGGAGGAGGAGGCAGAGGGGGGGATAAAAACCTGGGGGAAAGCCTGGGGGAGGGGGTCCTGCCACAGGGTCTTCACCAGGAGGTGAAGGTGCCAACTGGAGAGTCCTCTCAGCCCTTTCCTTGGCATCCAGAAGGAAACGGCGCCGGTGGCACCACACCATGTCCAGGACCACGGGAGCCACCGTGGCAGGAGGGGCTGGTGGGCTGGTGGAGATGGGCAGCTCATTGTGGGAGGCTCAGAGAGGCTTTGCTCTTCCTCTTCCCCCCCCCCCCCCCCCCGGCGAGATTTTGGAGGGAAAGGCTGGGAGGTCCCACTGCTCCCGGACAGCCCAAGTTCAGGTGGGATGGGATAGGATGGGATGGGATGAGAGAAAACTCCACCCAGCTTCCCTGGGGATCTGGAGAGGACCACACAGGCGCCCACCGTGCACCCTCAGCCTGCCAGTGACTTTCAGGATGGTTTTAGTTTGGAACTTTCCAGTCCTTGCCCCCCAGTGCCTCCCCCTGCCATCGCCCCGCGGCAAAGCGCTGCCTCCCCGAGGCTGTGCCGTTTGATGTGTCCCTGGCCCCGGCTGTAAAGTTATCCATTGACTCGGGAAAAGGCAA